GGAGCTTGCCTTGTCCGGGAGCTTGCCTGGTCCACGAGCTTGCCTGGTCCAGGAGCTTGCATGGTTCAAGAGCTTGCGTGGTCTAGGAGCTTGCCTGGTCCAGGAGCTTGCCTGGTCCAGGAGCGTGCCTGGTCCACGAGCTTGCCTGGTCCTGGAGCTTGCCTGGTCCAGGAGCTTGCCTGGTCCAAGAGCTTGCGTGGTCCAAGAGCTTGCGTGGTCCAGGAGCTTGCCTGGTCCAGGAGCTTGCCTGGTCTAGGAGCGTGCCTGGTCCACGAGCTTGCCTGGTCCAGGAGCTTGCCTAGTCCAGGACCTTGCCTGGTCTAGGAGCTTGCCTGGTCCAGGAGCGTGCCTGGTCCAGGAGCTTGCCTGATCCAGGAGCTTGCCTGGTCGAGGAGCTTGCCTGGTCCAAGATCTTGCCTGGTCCAGGAGCGTGCATGGTCCACGAGTTTGCCTGGTCCAGGAGCTTGCCTGGCCTAGGAGCTTGCCTGGTCTAGGAGCTTGCCTGGTCCAGGAGCGTGCCTGGTCCAGGAGTTGTCTGGTCCAATAGCTTGACTGGTCCAAGAGCTTGCCTGGTCCAGGAGCGTGCCTGGTCCACGAGCGTGCCTGGTCCAAGAGCTTGCTTGGCCAAAGAGCGTGCCTGGTCCACAAGCGTGCCTGGTCCAAGGGCTTGCCTGGTCCAGGAGCTTGCTTGGTCTAGGAGCTTGCCTGGTGCAGGAGCGTGCCTGGTCCAGGAGCTTGCCTGGTCCACGTGCTTGCGTGGTCCAGGAGCTTGCCTGGTCCACGTGCTTGCGTGGTCTAGGAGCTTGCCTGGTCCAGAAGCTTGCCTAGTCCAGGAGCTTGCCTGGTCAAGGAGCTTGCGTGGTCCAGGAGCTTGCCTGGTCCACGAGCTTGCCTGGTCCAGGAGCTTGCCTGGTCCAAGAGCTTGCGTGGTTCAGGAGCTTGCCTGGTCCAGGAGCTTGCCTGGTCCAGGAGCGTGCCTGGTCCACGAGCTTGCCTGGTCCTGGAGCTTGCCTGGTCCAGGAGCTTGCCTGGTCCAAGAGCTTGCGTGGTCCAAGAGCTTGCGTGGTCCAGGAGCTTGCCTGGTCCAGGAGCTTGCCTGGTCTAGGAGCGTGCCTGGTCCACGAGCTTGCCTGGTCCAAGAGCTTGCTTGGTCCAGGACCTTGCCTGGTCTAGGAGCTTGCCTGGTCCAGGAGCGTGCCTGGTCCAGGAGCTTGCTTGATCCAGGAGCTTGCCTGGTCCAGGAGCTTGCCTGGTCCAAGATCTTGCCTGGTCCAGGAGCGTGCGTGGTCCACGAGTTTGCCTGGTCCAGGAGCTTGCGTGGTCTAGGAGCTTGCCTGGTCCAGGAGCTTGCCTGGTCCAGAAGCGTGCCTGGTCCAGGAGCTTGCCTGGTCCAGGAGCTTGCCTGGTCCAGGAGCTTTCTTGGTCCAAGAGCTTGCCTAGTCCAGGAGCTTGCCTGGTCCAAGAGCTTGCATGTTCTAGGAGCTTGCGTGGTCCAGGAGCCTGCCTGGTCCAGGAGCTTGCCTTGTCCAAGAGCGTGCATGGTCCAGGAGTGTGCCTGGTCCAGGAGCTTGTTTGGTCTTGAAGCCTGCCGGGTCCTAGAGCTTGCTTGGTCCAGGAGCGTGCCTTGTCCAAGAGCTTGCCTGGTCCAAGAGCTTGCCTATTCTAGGAGCTTGCTTGGTCCAGGAGCTTGCCTGGTCCAGGAGATTGCCTGGTCCAGGAGCTTGCCTGGTCCAGAAGCTTGCCTGGTCCAGGAGCTTGCATGGTCCAGAAACCTGCCTGGTCCAAGAGCTTGCCTGGTCCAGGAGCGTGCCTGGTCCAAGAGCTTGCGTGGTCCAGGAGCTTGCCAGGTCTAGGAGCTTGCCCGGTCCAGGAGCATGCCTGGTCTAGGAGCGTGCGTGGTCTAGGAGCTTGCCTGGTCCAGAAGCTTGCCTAGTCCACGAGCTTGCCTGGTCCAGGAGCTTGCCTTGTCCAGGAGCTTGCCTGGTCCACGAGCTTGCCTGGTCCAGGAGCTTGCATGGTCCAAGAGCTTGTGTGGTCTAGGAGCTTGCCTGGTCCAGGAGCTTGCCTGGTCCAGGAGCGTGCCTGGTCCACGAGCTTGCCTGGTCCTGGAGCTTGCCTGGTCCAGGAGCTTGCCTGGTCCAAGAGCTTGCGTGGTCCAAGAGCTTGCGTGGTCCAGGAGCTTGCCTGGTCCAGGAGCTTGCCTGGTCTAGGAGCGTGCCTGGTCCACGAGCTTGCCTGGTCCAGGAGCTTGCCTGGTCCAGGACCTTGCCTGGTCTAGGAGCTTGCCTGGTCCAGGAGCGTGCCTGGTCCAGGAGCTTGCCTGATCCAGGAGCTTGCCTGGTCGAGGAGCTTGCCTGGTCCAAGATCTTGCCTGGTCCAGGAGCGTGCATGGTCCACGAGTTTGCCTGGTCCAGGAGCTTGCCTGGCCTAGGAGCTTGCCTGGTCTAGGAGCTTGCCTGGTCCAGGAGCGTGCCTGGTCCAGGAGTTGTCTGGTCCAATAGCTTGACTAGTCCAAGAGCTTGCCTGGTCCAGGAGCGTGCCTGGTCCACGAGCGTGCCTGGTCCAAGAGCTTGCTTGGCCCAAGAGCGTGCCTGGTCCACGAGCGTGCCTGGTCCAAGGGCTTGCCTGGTCCAGGAGCTTGCTTGGTCTAGGAGCTTGCCTGGTGCAGGAGCGTGCCTGGTCCAGGAGCTTGCCTGGTCCACGTGCTTGCGTGGTCCAGGAGCTTGCCTGGTCCACGAGCCTGCCTGGTCCAAGAGCTTGCCTAGTCCAAGAGCGTGCCTGGTCCACGAGCTTGCCTGGTCCAGGAGCTTGCCTGGTCCAGGAGCTTGCCTGGTCCAGGAGCTTGCATGGTCCGGGAGCTTGCCTTGTTAGGAGCTTGCCTGGTCCAGGAGCTTGCCTGCTCCAGGAGCTTGCCTAGTCCAGGAGCTTGCCAGGTCCAAAAGCGTGCCTGGTCCAGAAGCTTGCCTGGTCCAGGAGCTTGCTTGGTCCAGAAGCCTGCCTGGTCCAAGAGCTTGCCTAGTCGAGGAGCGTGCCTGGTCCAAGAGCTTGCGTGGTCCAGGAGCTTGCATGGTCCAGGAGCTTGCTTGGTCCAGAAGCGTGCCTGGTCCTAGAGCTTGCTTGGTCCAGGAGCGTGCCTGGTCCAAGAGCTTGCGTGGTCTAGGAACTTGCCTCGTCCAGGAGCTTGCCTGGTCCAGGAGCGTGCCTGGTCCACGAGCTTGCCTGGTCTAGGAGCATGCCTAGGCTAGGAGCATGCCTGGTTCACGAGGGTGCCTGGTCCAGGAGCTTGCGTGGTCAAGGAGCTTGCCTGATCCAGGAGCTTGCCTGGTCCAAGAGCTTGCCTGGTCCACGAGCGTGCCTGGTCCAAGGGCGTGCCTGGTCCAGGAGCGTGCCTGGTCCACGAGTTTGCGTGGTCCAGGAGCTTGCCTTGTCCAGGAGCTTGCCTGGTCTAGGAGCTTGCCTCGTCTAGGAGCTTTCCCGGTCCAGGAGCTTACCTGGTCCAAGAGCTTGCCTGGTCCAAGAGCTTGCCTGGTCCTGGAGCTTGCCTGGTTCAAGAGCTTGCTTGGTCCAGAAGCTTGCCTGGTCCAAGAGCTTGCCTGGTCCAGGAGCGTCTTTCTACAGTGCTGTGCTGGTACGCCGTCGACCTGCTCTGTTGACAGGTCGTCTTTCCGCAGTGCTGGGCAGCTCCTCTACGCAACGCTGGCAGGCGGTCGACCGAGCTGTGCTGGCGGTCGACCAGGCTAGCAGCAGGGTTGCTAGGTGCCTGATGTAGTCATTGTTGTATTTTTTCTTGTTCTATCATGCTGGAATTCCATCTTTGCTAGTGGAAACTCTTGCCAATTTCTTCCGTGAATGTGCACACACTAAGGAACCAAGCAAAGCTAAGATCACCTCTAGTAGTTCGTGCCAACCCCTGTAGTCTAGCTTACTACCGTTTTAGAGTTAATCTCCGCAGCCGCACCCCTCCACCACTCACTGTAACCACCCACCCTCATTGCACTCTCACCACTCAGTGTCACCTAACTCTTACCATTCTGGCCGCTCAGTCTCACCTCACTCTCACCATTCCAACTTCACCACTCTAACCACTCACCCTCACCACCCTCTATGCTCCCACTCTCACCACACACTCACATTTTAAATCAGAACATTCCAGCTGTGCCCATGCATGCAACAGGTGGCATCAGTGCGATTCGGCTAATCATATGCCACCTACCAAGTACGAGCATCATGCTCTCATGCAACAGGTGGCATCAGTGACTTACGGCTTATCATATGCCACCTACCAAGTACGAGCATCATGGTCTCTTGCAACAGGTGGCATCAGTGCCATACGGCTCATCATCTGCCACCTACCAAGCATGAGCATCATGCTCTCATGCAACAGGTGGCATCAGTGCCTTACGGCTTATCATATGCCACCTGCCAAGTACGAGCAGCATCCTCTCATGCAACATGTGGCATCAGTGCCATTCGGCTCATCATATGCCACCTACCAAGTACGAGCATCATGCTCTCACGCAACAGGTGGCATCAGTGACTTACGGTTCAACATATGCCACCTACCAAGTACGAGCATCAGGCTCTCATGCAACAGGTCTTAGTGGGAATATGCGCTTATTGCCTGTATACGCTTATCGTATATACGCTATACGCTGTAGGGACGGGTTTGGAAATACGTTTTTTCAGGCAGAAAAAAAACTTCCCGAGGCAAGATCAAAAAAAGGCGCGCGGGGGGGGGGGGGGGGGGGTATGGGGGTGGGGTATGGGGCCTGAAGTTTCAGAGATTTTTTTTTTCCACATTACACATATACCACGGCCTACACATAACTACTGTCATCACTACTATCATCACTATCATCACTACTATCATCACTTACCATCATCACTTACCATCACTACTATCATCACTACTCCATCACGACCATCACTTCTCTCTAAGACAAGCTACGTACTACTAGTCCTTAGGACTAGCCGCCCACAGCAAGCCACATTTGCCCCCTCTAGTTAGCGTACTCGTCTTTGAGGATGTCGTCTTCACCTTCCTCCTCATCCTCTCCCTTCGTCTCGTCTTCCAGCCCATTGTATCCCGTCGGGATTGGAGGCTCCGCTCCAATCCCGGGCACCACATGTGGCAAGACATCAACGCGCGTGTGCCAGTTGCGCACAACATTCCAGTTGTGCGCAACATAGACCAAGTCCCTGCACTTGGCGGATCCGAGCTTGTTGCGACGTGCGGTGTATACCATCTCATAACTTAGGCTTAGAAGCGATACATTAGTAATGAGCTTGAAGCTCTTTAAGTATATCCAAGAAGGGGAGGGAATGGATGGGGAAGGGAATCGGGGGCAATCCATAGGGATTGGGGGTAATCCCAAGGCAATCTCCAATTGGTGGGTTGGAGATTGCTTGGAGATTACATTTGGGTTTGGTTGGGATGTAGGTGTACACCCAACCAAACACAATGTGCAAACTACACTACTCTAGGATATAGAAAATACAAAGTACAAAGTGTGAGATTGAAGGATAACACTAACAGACGGCATCCCACGAGGACCATCCACGCTCACAAGGTGAGGCTGACACGGCCTGAGACATCACCCGTACCGCGAGCCCCGCCACTCAAGGGGCATCAGTCCCATTCCACTGCCACCACTTCACCATGCTATACTTTCCCTCTTTCACCAGCTTCCTCTGTGCCACGGCTTCCGGCATCCCAAAAGAACCCTTCATCTCAAGGAACGCCCTCAGCCCGTCCCCCAGCTCAAGCAAGATGTCGCACGCGTCATCCCCCCCATCCCCGCGGCTCGCAAGGAACTCGGCCTGCTGGCTGATGAACGCCTTGAAGACTTTCGTGCACTCGGGATCAGTGCAGAAAATATCTTCCTTATGATTCGCGGGGTTGAGGATGCGGCCAGCGGCATGCATGGCGCATGCGAGGCTGTCATCCCAGCGGTCTTTGAGGATGCGGCGGATCTTGTCCTTGTCCCCGTCGCTCAGCTGCTCCTTGTGCGCATCGAGCAAGCCCCCCACGTCCCCAGTCAACTGCAGCATCAAATCGTACAGCCTCCCCATCATCCCCACGGCATGCCCGTCCGTCTGCCTCATCACCTTAAAGGGCACCTTTAGCAGTGCGACGAAGAACTCGGCCGTCTTCCACCAAGCGGCATCATGGATCAGCGCATTGAACCCGTCATACGATTTCTTCCGGTCCCCTACCGCCCACTCCTTCCAACCCTCGCTCGTCACCATGTTGGTAAGGCTGCCGTGCATCGCACATAGCCGGGATATGGCTATGTAGTTGGTCCCGAATCGGGTTCCAGCCGGCTTCAGCGCCTGCAGAACCTTCCCCTCCACCGATTCCGGCTTCCACAGGTACCCTCGGGTCAAGTGGATATGGAGGGCGGCCCAAGCAAGCGCAAGTGCCTCGTCCGTTTCTCTCTTTCTTGCAGCCGCATCCCCCTCAAGGTAATCGGTGATGCGCGCACGCTTCACACCATTAGCCTTGACCGCGGCAACCACTTCAGCTGCTGCCCGCCTCTTCTCTTCGGCCGCAACAGCCTTTGCCTCGTATTTCGCACGCATGGCCAAGCGCACATCTTGCGGCACATCCTTGCAAAGCACCACTTCACGGCGTTTCATCCCCTTCCACGACGTGAATTGTTGCGCGCATCGGATGGCAGCACCAGTGTAGACGTTGCTGCAGAACTTGCACTCGTACTGCTGAGCTTTTCCCTCGACCCTCTTGATGATGCGGAAGTGCTTGAAGACGGCATGGTCAACGTCGGGGAGATACTCCCGTGCCTCGGTTAGAAAAGTTTGCGAACTGCCAACGGTGTTAGCTGACGGTGGCGTTAGAGGAGAGGTAGTAGTCGTCGACATAGGCACCATGCGCTAGGGAATGCCTAGTGCTCTGCTGGTAGCGAGAGAAGACCTAATGAGTTGGATGTTGGGGGTGTGCTTGTTTCATGGCGAGTTGATTGTGGGAGTGGGAAGATGGCCAACAAAAACTGGAGAGGTGTTGGTTGCGAAGGGTTTGAATGCGGTACTGATAGTGAACACCAAAATGTGAGGGAACGTGCAGACGCGACTCGACGAACGTGACTTTCCATTTGCGACACGAACTTTCAACCCACGTCCACGCTAGCACACAGCGCGGACGTGCCATCTGACTGCGCTAATGTCTTCATCGTGCAATTCCGAAGCGAACCGTATAGGTTGAAATTTTCTGGCCGGGCTGCCCCAAAAAAAAATTGGCGAGCGTATAGCGTATTCGATAGCGTTTAGCGTTTTGCGTATACACGCTAGCGTGCATACGCTAAACGCAAACAGGTTTGAGCGTATATTCCCACTTAGCAACAGGTGGCATCAGTGCCATACGGCTCATCATGTGCCACCTACCAAGTACAAGCATCATGCTCTCATGCAACAGGTGGTCAGTGCCATACGGCTCATCATATGCCACTGCCAACCCCACAGCCTATCACCACCATCACCATCCAGCCCTCCCAGCCCTCCTCAACTTCACTTACCAGCAATAGGAGCAGCAGACAGCCCACTCCCTTTTGGAAACAACACTCTTGGGGGCTGTGCCTTGAAGTCCAGGTGTGGCAGTGGAAGATTGCTTCCAGCCCAAGACTCAAATCCCACCCCTGACGTGGCTAGAGCTGACGCGAACCAGAGCCACCGGCCGGTCGGCTCTGACGGTGTCCATTAAGCCTTGAACGCCACATCGGTTACTTGAGCACCGAGTGCCGTGCCGTGTAGATTCCACCCACCACACCCCGAACCACAAGGCACGACACCAGAGGATGCTGCCCCTAAGGCAGTGAACTGCCCACTTGCTCCTATGCTTCACCCCCATCCTTTCACCCCATGCCTCCTTACCTGTACCTACCACAGCCATGCAGAGCGCCATGATGCCTCAGGCTGCTGGGAAGTGGAGAGTGGAGAAGGGGGTTGGGGGGTCAAAAGAGGAATGCCTCTGTCAGCCTTTGCTCCAGTGCTCCCTCCCTTCAGCAGGCTGTAAAAGGGGTGGGGGGAGGAGGAGAGGGGGGGGGGGGGGGGGGGGGGAGAGATGAAACGAGAGACGCCCTGTGTCCCGCCCTTGCTCCGGTGGTCCCTCCCTCTCTCATACTGCAAGAGGGGTTGGGGGGAGGGGGAGAAAGAGAGGGGAGGGGATCAGATAACACACCTGCAACCATACCTCACCTGATACCATACCACACCTCGCTCACGACTCGACCTAACCTAGCCTGTCCTCTAGGCCTCCCCCCCCCACCCCGCCCCCGCTGCTGCTGCTGAGGCCGCTTCTGCTGCAACTGCTGCTGCCGGTCTACTACTCAGCTTCCTCTGCTACAGTCTTTACTCGCTGCCAAGTGACCTGGTAGGGGGGAAGGAAGAGGGGAAGAAAAAGCAAGTGAGTTGGCATGACCAGAAAACAAATGGATAAAAAAGAAATTGACAATAACGAGAAGGCAAAAGTGAAGAGCAGAAAAGGAAAAATTGAGGAGCAGAAAGGGAGAACGATGAGGGCAAGAGAGGAGGTGACGTACCTTGAGAGGCCAAGCCCACCCCGATACTCTCCCTTGTGGCAGGGATTGGCAGAGCTGCCTCCCTCCTATCCCCACGGGTACCTGCACGGCCACAGGGGAGGGGCGTGGGGAAGCGTCGGTGTTGACCCCCACCCCTCCCCTCCACCTGCAAGGCACACACGCAGAGCTGGTCAGTAGGCAGCAAGGGGATGAATGGTGAAAGTGCAAGAGAGGGAACGACATTTGCAAGGCGGGAGAGGGGAGGGGCCACTGGTGGAGGCCAAGTCACAAACTGCAGACCCAAGGGCTGCACCTGAGGGGGTACTTGCACACCTGCACCTGACGGGGTACCTGCACCTGAGAGGGTTACCTGAAGTAAAGGGGTCGGCAGCATGTGAGCCGGTCCCAACCAGTGGCGCTGTTTCAAGAGGAAGGTGCGAAAGTGCATGCAAACACGAGATGCAAGCAAAGTACACAAGACATGGCGAGGCAGGCAAGGGGTTGAGGGAACTTAGCTGTAAGGCGTGAGAGCGAGCAGAGGGCACTACAGCAGCACCAGGTGACTCCTTCCCCGGCAGCCCTCCTCCCAGCCTTCCCGTGTGCGTCCCTCCCTGCACGGCCACCGGGGAGAGGCGTGAGGGAATGGCGGTGCTGACCCCACACCCCTCCCCCCACCTGCAAGGCACACACGCAGAGCTGGTGAGTAGGCAGTGAAGGGATGACAGGTGAAACGGCAAGAGCAGCAGAAAAAATGCAAGGAAAATGAGAAAGGAGGGGCCACAGGTTGAGACACAACTGCAAGGCATAGACTTCCAAGGGGACCTGAGGGGCTGTAAGGCTGTAAGGGGGCTGAAACTAAACCTGAACCTGAACCTGAACCTCAATTGAGGTCTGCGGCTTGCGAGTCGAGCCCCAACCAGCGGCGAGTTTTGGAAACAAACAAAGTGGAAGAATAAACGAGAAGCAGAATAGTAGGCAAGGACCAAGGAGGCGAAGCACTTAGCTGAGAGTTGGAGCAGTGGTGGTGGTGGCGTGGGGGGTGCGGTGAAGGAGAGGGGGCAGGGGCGAGCAGAGGAGGTGCGAGCCAGCGAGGAGGGTTGAAGGGAAGGACCTGCGAGGCAGGGCAGGGGGGAGACACAGTGAGTGCGTGGCAGGTGCAAGGGCGCGGCCCTTGCAAATGAAGAGCGAGTGCGAGTGTAGAAATGACGGTGCATGTGACAGCCGGCCACAACCCCACAAGAGCCCCTACCAACCTGAACCTGAAACTGAACCTGCACCTGAACCTGCACCTGAGGGGAATTGGGGCTGTGGAGGGGTGTGGCGGCGGGGCGATACTTGCAACCTCGACCATTGATGAGGCTTAGCGGTGCTGCCTTGCTGCCCGCCCTCCTGCTGCCCGCCCTGGTGCCCCCCTCGCCTGCTGCCCTCCCCTCGCCTGCTATGCTCCCCTCGCCTGCTGCTCGCCTGCTGCCGTCCCCCTAGCTTGTGAAGGCCTGGCAGGGAAGGGAGAGGAGGGAGGGAAGGGCAGAAAGGAAAGGCAGCCGGAAGTGAGAAGGGTTACAATGGAGAAAAGTGTCAAATACACGTGCAACAGCAGAAACGACAGTGCATGTGACGCCAACCACAACCCCACAAGAGCCGCTACCAACCTGAACCTGCACCTGAACCTGAACTTGAGGGGGAGTGGGCTCGAGTGGAGTGTGGTGGCAGGGGCGATACTGCAACCTCAACCGTTGATGAGGCCGGCGCTGCTGCCCTGCTGCCCGCGCTCCTGCTGCCCGCCCTGGTGCTCCCCTCGGCTGCTGCTTGCTGCTGCTCTCCTCCTGGCTTGTGAAGATCTGGCAGGGAAGGGAGGGGAGGGAGGGGAGGGAGGGCAGGGAGGAAAGGAAAGGCAGCCGGAAGTAAGAGGGGTTGCAATGGAGAAAAGTGTCAAACACACGTGCAACAGCAGAAACAACAGTGCATGTGACGCCAACCACAACCCCACAAGAGCCGCTACCAACCTGAACCTGAACCTGAGGGGGGGTGGGCTCGAGTGGAGAATGGTGGCAGGGGCGATACTGCAACCTCAACCGTTGATGAGGCCGGCACTGCTGCCCCGCTGCCCACGCTCCTGCTGCCCGCCTTGGTGCTCCGCTCCCCTCGCCTACTTCCATCCTATTGGCTTGGGCTCGCCTGGCAGGAAAGGGATGGGAGGTCAAGGAGGGGAGGGAGGGGAGGGGAGCACTAAGAGGAACGAGGTGAAGGCAGCGGGGGAGGTGGAAGCGAGAGTGGGATGGGGAAACAGCAGGCAAGGCAAGGAAGGGGCCACTAGAGGAGCACATCCACAAGCCACACACCCCCAGAGGAACCTTAGGGGGCTGTAAAGCAATAGGGGGGCTCAACCTGTACCTGATGGGCTTACCTGCGATTGGGGGTGGGGGTCTGTTGCTTGTGAGGCGGGCCCCAACCAGTGGCGAGTATTTCAAGGGGAAACGGCGAGCAGCAATGGTGAGCAGAAAAATAGCAAGAACAAGGGCCTAGCGAGTGCAAAATAGCAAGAACAAGGGCCTAGCGTGTGCAAAATTGCAAGAACAAGGGCGTAGCGTGTGCAAAAATTGCAAGAACAAGGCCCTAGCGTGTACAAAATAGCAAGAACGAGGGCTTAGCGTGTGCAAAATTGCAAGAACAAGGGCCTAGCGTGTGCAAAATTTCAAGAACAAGGGCCTAGCGTGTGCAAAATTGCAAAAACAAGGGCCTAGCGTGTGCAAAATAGCAAGAATAAGGGCCTAGTGTGCGCAAAATTGCAAGAACAACGGCCTAGCGTGTGCAAAATTGCAAGAACAAGGGCCTAGCGTGCGCCAAATAGCAAGAACAAGGGCCTAGCGAGTGCAAAATTGCAAGAACAAGGGCCTAGGGTGTGCAAAAAAACGAGAACAAGGGCCTAGCGTGTGCAAAATTCCAAGAACAAGAGCCTAGCGAGTGCAAAATAGCAACAACAAGGGCATAACCTATGCAAAAATTCAGGAACAAGGGCCTAGTGTGTGCAAAATTGCAAGAACAAGGGCCTAGCGTGTGCAAAATTGCAAGAACAAGGGCCTGCCGTGTGCAAGAAAGCAAGAACAAGGGCCTAGCGTGTGCAAAATTGCAAGAAAGCGGGCCTAGCATGTGCCAAATAGCAAGAACAAGGGCCTAGCGAGTGCAAAATTGCAAGATTTAGGGCCTAGCATATGCAAAAAAATAAGAACAAGGGCCTAGCGTGTGCAAAATTGCAAGAACAAGAGCCTAGCGTGTGCAAAATAGCATAACAAGGCCAAGAAAAAGCAAAATAGCAAAAACAAGGGCCTAGCGTGTGAAAACATTGCAAGAACAAGGGCCTAGCGAGTGCAAAATTGCAAGAACAAGGGCCTAGCAAGTGCAAAATTGCAAGAACAAGGGCCTAGCGTGTGCAAAATTGCAAGAACAAGGGCCTAGCAAGTGCAAAATAGCAAGAACAAGGGCCTAGCGAGTGCAAAATAGCAAGAACAAGGGCCTACCGTGTGCAAAATTGCAAGAACAAGGGCCTAGCGTGTGCAAAATAGCAAGAACAAGGGCCTAGCATGTGCAAAATTGCAAGAACAAGGGCCTAGCGTGTGCAAAATAGCATGAACAAGGGCCTAGCGTGTGCAAAAATTGCAAGAACAAGGGCCTTGTGAGTGCAAAATTGCAAGAACATGGGCCTAGCAAGTGCAAAATTGCAAGAACAAGGGCCTAGCGAGTGCAAAATTTCAAAAACAAGGGCCTAGTGATTGCAAAACTGCAAGAACAAGGGCCTAGCGAGTGCAAAATTGCAAGAACAAGGGCCTGGCGTGTGCAAAATTGCAAGAACAAGGGCCTAATGTATGCAAAATTGCAAGAACAAGGGCCTAGCATGTGCAAAATAGCAAGAACAAGGGCCTAACGAGTGCAAAATAGCAAGAACAAGGGCCTAGCGTGTGCAAAAATTGCAAAAACAATGGCCTAGCGAGTGCAAAATTTCAAGAACAAGGGCCTAGCAAGTGCAAGATTGCAAGAACAAGGGCCTAGCGAGTGCTAAATTGCAAGAACAAGGGCCTCGCAAGTGCAAAATTGCAAGAACAAGGGCCTGGCGAGTGCAAAATAACAAGAACAAGGGCCTAGCGTGTGCAAAATTGCAAGAACAAGGGCCAAGCGTGTGCAAAATAGCAAGACAAAGGGCCTAGCGTTTGCAAAATAACAAAACAAGGGCCTAGCATGTGCAAAAATTGCAAGAACAAGGGCCTAGCGAGTGCAAAATTGCAAGAACAAGAGCCTAGCAAGTGCAAAATTGCAAGAACAAGGGCCTAGCGATCGCAAAATTGCAAGAACAAGGGCCTAGCATGTGCAAAATTGCAAGAACAAGGGCCTAGCAAGTGCAAAATTGCAAGAACAAGGGCCTAGCGAGTGCAAAAATGCAAGAACAAAGACCTAGGGTGTGCAAAATAACAAGAACAAGGGCCTAGCATGTGCAAAATTGCAAGAACAAGAGCCTAGCATGTGCAAAATAACAAGAACAAGGGCCTAGCCAGTGCAAAATAGCTAGAACAAGGGCCTAGCGTGTGAAAAAATTGCGAGAGAAAAGGGCCTAGCGAGTGCAAAATTGCAAGAACAAGGGCCTGGCGTGTGCAAAATTGCAAGAACAAGGGCCTAGCGAGTGCAAGATAGTAAGAACAAGGGCCTAGCGAGTGCAAAATTGCAAGAACAAGGGCCCAGCGAGTGCAAAATTGCAAGATCAAGGTCCTAGCGTCTGCAAAATAGCAAGAACAAGGGCCTAGCGTGTGCAAAATAGCAAGAACAAGGGCCTAGCATGTGCACAAATTGCAAGAACAAGGGCCTAGCGTGTGCAAAATTGCAAGGACAAGGGCCTAGGGAGTGCAAAATTGCAAGAACAAGGGCCTAGTGAGTGCAAAATTGCAAGAACAAAGGCCTAGGGTGTGCAAAACATCAAGAACAAGGGCCTAGTGTGTGCAAAATTGCAAGAACAAGAGTCTAGCGTGTGCAAAATAGCAAGAACAAGGGCCAAGCCAGTGCAAAAAAGCTAGAACAAGGGCCTAGCGTGTGAAAAAATTGCTAGAAAAAGGGCCTAGCGAGTGCAAAATTGCACGAACAATGGCCTGGCGTGTGCAAAATTGCAAGAACAAGGGCCTAGCGAGTGCAAAATTGCAAGAACAAGGGCCTGGCGAGTGCAAAATAGTAAGAACAAGGGCCTAGCGAGTGCAAAATTGCAAGACCGAGGTCCTAGCGTGTGCAAAATAGCAAGAACAAGGGCCTAGCGTGTGCAAAATAGCAAAAACAAGGGCCTAGCATGTGCAAAATTGCAAGAACAAGGACCTTGCGTGTTCAATATTGCAAGGACAAGGGCCTAGCGAGTGCAAAATTGCAAGAACAAGGGCCTAGCGTGTGCAAAATTGCAAGAACAAGGGCCTAACGAATGCAAAATAGCAAGAACAAGGGCCTAGCGTGTGCAAAAATTGCAAAAACAATGGCCTAGCGAGTGCAACATCCACGTCCACGTCCACGTCCACGTCCACGTCCACGTCCACGACCACGTCCACGTCCACGTCCACGTCCACGTCCACGACCACGTCCACGTCCACGTCCACGTCCACGTCCACGTCCATGTCCACGTCCACGTCCACGTCCACGTCCACGTCCACGTCCACGACCACGTCCACGACCACGTCCATGTCCATGTCCACGTCCACGACCACGTCCACGTCCACGTCCACGTCCTCCACGACCACGTCCACGTCCTCCACGACCACGACCACGTCCACGTCCACGTCCACGTCCACGTCCACGACCACGTCCACGACCACGTCCACGTCCAGGTCCACGTCCACGTCCACGTCCACGCCCACGTCCACGTCCATGTCCACGTCCACGTCCACGTCCATGTCCACGTCCATGTCCACGTCCACGTCCATGTCCACGTCCAGGTCCACGTCCACGTCCACGTCCACGTCCACGTCCATGTCCACGTCCATGTCCACGTCCAGGTCCACGTCCAGGTCCACGTCCACGTCCACGTCCACGTCCACGTCCACGTCCACGACCACGTCCACGTCCACGTCCACGTCCACGTCCTCGTCCACGTCCTCGTCCACGTCCACGTCCACGTCCACGTCCACGTCCACGTCCACGTCCATGTCCACGTCCACGTCCACGACCATGTCCACGTCCACGACCACGTCCACGTCCATGTCCACGTCCACGTCCACGTCCACGTCCACGTCCTCCACCACGTCCACGTCCACGTCCATGTCCACGTCCAGGTCCACGTCCATGACCACGTCCACGACCACGTCCACGTCCATGTCCTCCACGTCCATGTCCAAGTCCTCCACGTCCAAGTCCAAGTCCTCCACATCCACGACCACGTCCACGTCAACGTCAACATCCACGTCCACGTCCACAACCACGTCCACGACCACATCCACCTCCACGTCCACGTCCTCCACGTCCACGTCCTCCACGTCCACGTCCACGACCACGTCCACGTCCACGACCACGTCCACGTCCACGTCCAAGTCCAAGTCCAGGTCCACGTCCGCGTCCACGTCCACGACCACGTCCGCGTCCACGTCCACGTCCACGTCCACGTCCACGTCCTCCACCACGTCCACGTCCACTTCGAGGTCCACATCCATGACCACGTCCACGACCACGTCCACGTCCATGTCCTCCACGTCCACGTCCAAGTCCTCCACGTCCAAGTAAAAGTCCTCCACGTCCACGACAACGTCCACGTCCACGTCATCGTCCACGTCCACGTCCACGACCACGTCCACATCACGTCCACATCCACGTCGACGTCCACGTCCTCCACGTCCACGTCCACGACCACGTCCACGTCCATGTCCCCGTCCACGTCCACGTCCAAGTCCTCCATGTCCACGACCACGTCCACGTCCACGTCTACGTCCACGTCCACGTCCACGTCCTCCACGTCCACGTCCTCCACGTCCACGTCCACGTCCACGTCCATGTCCACGTCCAAGTCCTCCATGTCCACGACCACGTCCACGTCCACGTCTACGTCCACGTCCACGTCCACGTCCACGCCCTCCACGTCTTCATCCACGTCCACGCCCTCCACGTCCACGTCCACGTCCACGTCCATGACCACGTCCACGTCCACGTGGACGTCCACGTCCACGTCCACGTCCACGACCACGACCACGGCCACGTCCACGACCACGTCAACGTCCACGTCCACGTCCACGACCACGTCCACTTCGACGTCCACGTCGACGTCCACGACCACGTCCACTCCACGACCACGTCCACATCCACGTCGACGTCCAAGTCCACGTCCACGTCCACGTCCACGACCAGGTCCACGTCCACGTCCACGTTCACGTCCACGTCCACGTCCACGTCTACGTCCACGTCCAGGTCCACGTCCACGTCCACGACCACGTCCACGTCCACGACCACCTCCAGGTCCACGTCCACGTCCACGTCCACGTCCATGTCCACGTCCAAGTCCTCCACGTCCACGACCACGTCCACGTCCACGTCCACGTCCAAGTCCACGTCCACGTCCACGTCCACGACCACGTCCACGTCCACGTCCACGACCACGTCCACGTCCACGTCCACGACCACGTCCACGTCCAAGTCCTCCACGTCCACGACCACGTCCACGTCCACGTCCAAGTCCACGTCCACGTCCACGTCCACGTCCACGACCACGTCCACGTCCACGTCCACGACCACGTCCACGTCCACGTCCACGACCACGTCCACATCCACGTCCACGTCCACGTCCACGTCCACGTCCTCCACGACCACGTCCACGTCCACGACCACGTCCACTTCCACGTCCACGTCCAGGTCCACGTCCACATCCACGTCCACGTCCAAGTCCTTCACGTCCACGACCACGTCCATGTCCACGTCCACGTCCACGTCGTGGACGACCACGTCCATGTCTACGACCACGTCCACGACCACGTCCACGTCCACGTCCACGACCACGTCCATGTCCACGTCCACGTCCACGTCCACGTCCACGTCCACGTCCACGTCCACGTCTACGTCCACGTCCAGGTCCACGTCCACGTCCACGACCACGTCCACGTCCACGACCACCTCCAGGTCTACGTCCACGTCCACGTCCACGTCCATGTCCACGTCCAAGTCCTCCACATCCACGACCACGTCCACGTCCACGTCCAAGTCCACGTCCACGTCCACGTCCACGTCCACGACCACGTCCACGTCCACGTCCACGACCACGTCCACGTCCACGTCCACGACCACGTCCACGTCCAAGTCCTCCACGTCCACGACCACGTCCACGTCCACGTCCAAGTCCACGTCCACGTCCACGTCCACGTCCACGACCACGTCCACGTCCACGACCACGTCCACGACCACGTCCACGACCACGTCCACGTCCATGTCCACGACCACGTCCATGTCCACGTCCACGTCCACGTCCACGTCCACGTCCAGATCGACGTCCACGTCCACGTCCACGTCCACGTCCTCCACGTCCACGTCCACGTCCACGTCTTCCACGACCACGTCCACGTCCTCCACGACCATGTCCACGTCCACGTCCACGTCCATGTCCACGTCCACGTCCACGTCCACGTCCACGTCCATGTCCACGTCCATGTCCATGTCCATGTCCACGTCCACGTCCACGTTCACGTCCACGTCCACGTCCACGACCACGTCCACGACCACGTCCACGTCCACGTCCATGTCCACGTCCATGTCCACGTCCATGTCCATGTTCAGGTCCACGTCCAGGTCCACGTCCACGTCCACGTCCATGTCCACGACCACGTCCACGTCCACGTCCACGTCTAGGTCCAGGTCCACGTCCACGTCCACGTCCACGTCCACGTCCACGTCCATGTCCACGTCCACGTCCATGTCCACGTCCACGTCCACGACCACGTCCACGTCCACGTCCACGTCCACGACCACGTCCACGTCCACGTCCATGTCCACGTCCACGTCCACGTCCACGTCCACGTCCTCCACCACGTCCACGTCCACGTCCATGTCCACGTCCAGGTCCACGTCCATGACCACGTCCACGACCACGTCCACGTCCATGTCCTCCACGTCCATGTCCAAGTCCTCCACGTCCAAGTCCAAGTCCTCCACATCCACGACCACGTCCACGTCAACGTCAACATCCACGTCCATGTCCACAACCATGTCCACGACCACGTCCACCTCCACGTCCACGTCCTCCACGTCCACGTCCACGTCCACGTCCACGTCCACGTCCATGTCCAGGTCCACGTCCATGTCCACGTCCATGTCCACGTCCACGTCCACGTCCATGTCCACGTCCATGTCCACGTCCACGTCCATGTCCACGTCCATGTCCACGTCCACGTCCATGTCCACGTCCACGTCCACGTCCACGTCCATGTCCTCGTCCAGGTCCACGTCCAGGTCCACGTCCAGGTCCACGTCCACGTCCACGTCCACGTCCACGTCCACGACCACGTCCACGTCCACGTCCTCGTCCATGTCCATGTCCACGTCCACGTCCACGTCCACGTCCACGTCCACGTCCACGTCCACGTCTTCGTCCACGTCCACGTCCACGTCCACGTCCACGTCCACGTCCACGTCCACGTCCACGTCCACGTCCAAAACCACGTCCACGTCCACGTCCACGACCACGTCCACGACCACGTCCACGTCCACGTCCATGTCCATGTCCACGTCCACGTCCACGTCCACGTCCTCCACCACGTCCACGTCCACGTCCATGTCCACGTCCAGGTCCACGTCCATGACCACGTCCACGACCACGTCCACGTCCATGTCCTCCACGTCCATGTCCAAGTCCTCCACGTCCAAGTCCAAGTCCTCCACATCCACGACCACGTCCACGTCAAAGTCAACATCCACGTCCACGTCCACAACCATGTCCACGACCACGTCCACCTCCACGTCCACGTCCTCCACGTCCACGTCCTCCACGTCCACGTCCACGACCACGTCTACGTCCACGACCACGTCCACGTCCACGTCCAAGTCCAAGTCCAGGTCCACGTCCGCGTCCACGTCCACGACCACGTCCGCGTCCACGTCCACGTCCACGTCCACGTCCTCCACCACGTCCACGTCCACGTCGAGGTCCACGTCCATGACCACGTCCACGACCACGTCCACGTCCATGTCCTCCAAGTCCACGTCCTAGTCCTCCACGTCCAAGTAAAAGTCCTCCACGTCCACAACCACGTCCACGTCCACGTCCACGTCAATGTCCACGTCCACGACCACGTCCACATCACGTTCACATCCACGTCGACGTCCACGTCCTCCACGTCCACGTCCACGACCACGTCCACGTCCATGTCCCCGCCCACGTCCACGTCCAAGTCCTCCATGTCCACGACCACGTCCACGTCCACGTCTACGTCCACGTCCACGTCCACGTCCTCCACGTCCACGTCCTCCACGTCCACGTCCACGTCCACGTCCACGTCCACGTCCAAGTCCTCCATGTCCACGACCACGTCCACGTCCACGTCTACGTCCACGTCCACGTCCACGTCCACGCCCTCCACGTCCACGTCCACGTCCACGCCCTCCACGTCCACGTCCACGTCCACGTCCACGTCCACGTCCACGTCCATGACCACGTCCACGTCCACGTGGACGTCTACGTCCACGTCCATGTCCACGTCCACGACCACGACCACGGCCACGTCCACGACCACGTCAACGTCCACGTCCACGTTCAGGACCACGTCCACGTCCACGTCGACGTCCACGACCACGTCCACGACCACGTCCACTCCACGACCACGTCCACATCCACGTCGTCGTCCAAGTCCACGTCCACGTCCACGTCCACGTCCACGACCATGTCCACGTCAACGTCTACGTCCACGTCCACGTCTACGTCCACGTCCAGGTCCACGTCCACGTCCACGACCACGTCCACGTCCACGACCACCTCCAGGTCCACGTCCACGTCCACGTCCACGTCCATGTCCACGTCCAAGTCCTCCACGTCCACGACCACGTCCACGTCCACGTCCACGTCCAAGTCCACGTCCACGTCCACGTCCACGTCCACGACCACGTCCACGTCCACGTCCACGTCCACGTCCTCCACGACCACGTCCACGTCCACGACCACGTCCACGTCCACGTCCACGTCCAGGTCCACGTCCACATCCACGTCCACGTCCAAGTCCTTCACGTCCACGACCACGTCCATGTCCACCTCCACGTCCACGTCCACGTCCACGTCGTGGACGACCACGTCCATGTCTACGACCACGTCCACGACCACGTCCACGTCCACGTCCACGTCCACGACCAGGTCCTCCACGTCCACGACCACGACCACGTCCACGACCACGTCCACGTCCAGGTCCGCGTCCACGTCCACGACCACGTCCACGTCCAAGTCCTCCACGTTCACAACGACGTCCACGTCCACGTCCACGTCCACGACCACGTCCACGTCCAAGACCACGACCACGTCCACGACCACAACCACGACCATGTCCACGACCTCGTCAACGTCCACGTCCACATCCACGACCACGTACACGTCCACGTCGACGTCCACAACCACGTCCACTCCACGACCACGTCCACGTCCACGTCCAAGTCCAGGTCCAGGTCCATGTCCACGTCCATGTCCACGTCCAGGTCCAAGTCCACGTCCACGTCCACGTACACGTCCAAGTCCACGTCCAGGTCCACGTCCACGTACACGTCCAAGTCCACGTCCAGGTCCACGTCCATGTACACGTCCAAGTCCACGTCCAGGTCCACGTCCACGTACACGTCCAAGTCCACGTCCACGTCCACGTCCACGTCCACGTCCACGTCCTCCACGTCCACGTCCAACTCCTCCACGTCCACGTCCACGTTCTCCACGTCCACGTCCTCCACGTCCACGTCCACGACCACGTCCACGTCCACGTCCTCCATCACATCCACGTCCACGTCCACGTCCACGTCCATGACCACGTCCACGACCACGTGCACGTCCACGTCTAATTCCTCCACGTCCACGTCCAATTCCTCTATGTCCACATCCACGACCACGTCCACGTCCACGTCAACGTCCACGTCCACGACCACGTCCACGTCCACGTCCACGTCCTCCACGTCCACGTCCTCCACGTCCACGTCTCCCACGTCCACGTCCACGACCACGTCCAGGTCCACGTCCACGTCCACGACCACGTCCACGTACACGTCCACGACCACGTCCAGGTCCACGACCACGTCCACGTCCACGTCCACGACCACGTCCACGTCCAGGTCCACGTCCACGTCCAAGTCCACGTCCACGTCCACGTCCACGTCCACGACCACGTCCACGTCCTCGTCCACGACCACGTCCATGTCCAAGTCCACGTCCACGTCCAGGTCCACGTCCACGTCCACGTCCACGTCCAGGTCCACGTCACGTCCAGTCCACGTCCAAGTCCTCCACGTCCACGTCCACGTCCTCGACGACCAGTACACGTCCTCCACGACCACGTCCACGTCCACGTCCACGTCCCCGTCCACGTCCACGTCCACGTCCACGTCCACGTCCACGTCCACGTCCACGTCCATGTCCACGTGCAAGTCCACGTCCACGTCCACGTCCACGTCCACGTCCACGTCC